GATGCTCCTGATATACCCTGCCAGTAACCCTAGGACTATTTATTTCATTGTTTCCTTTGATGTTATACTTTTTACGTAGATCCCTTCTACACACTTACTATCAGTGTTTTTCCTTTCATTATATATTTCTTTCGATGTCATTCCCTTTTGTTGTAATTTTCATTAGAAGGTATCGCACATTGAAGACACATAAACTTTCCATTTCCCGAACCTTAAATATTTTTTAGATCGATGCACACAGTTATATATGTACACACGATTATAAATAAAAGTATTTACTGTTAAAACAAAGATCAATTTCTAGCAACAGGGCGCGCACTGTTGCTCAATACTTCATGAAAGTATAATATCCAATTACCAGCGGCTGCTCGGGCTTGTGTGATTAAAACTTAGAATGAGTAGTAATTATACATAAAAATAGGGTCCATTGCGAAACAATGGAATATTAGTCGTAAGTTAAAATTCATAGACATGTCTAATAATGCACTAATTTTTTTAGAGATATATTTTATCATTCACGATGCCCCTCCCCCCACCCAATGGCTGAGCGGCAAGCCTGCAGGCTTATGATGCTAAAAACTGGCGTTCCGATACCCGTAGTGGGCAGAGCACGGATAGACCATTGTGTAACTTTCATGTTAAAAACAATCAAATCAAATAATTTATGCTAACTTTTAAATACACTACTGAAAAACTAATACGCAACACGGATGGGCGTTACCAGGGGAGGGTGATCGTCCACAAACTGAGGCACCAATCCTACATGTGGGGGCATAATGACTGAATGTAGGGCTTGAACTAATAAATTATATCAAGAATTTCTATTTATATGCATAATTAATTGCACACATAATTTACAACTAACACCTACTCTATTGCACATTACAGAAATTGTGTTAAAATTAGTTTACTTTTACTAATCCTTCGCTAAAGCCTCAGTGTTTGTTGATACTCTGAGAGATTCTTGATAGATCACATTAGAAGATTTTCCTCCTTCCTGGGCCAAAATAAATAGATTTATTGGTGATCCTACTCTTGAACACCCAACATAGAATTGACTATGTGAAAAACAAGGTGTTTTCATATGTAGCTCTGCCACTTTTAAGTGTCTGACCTTATGCTTTAGATGCCATTTTTAATGAAAAAACTCAAAATAAAAAATTTTAGTAATAAAAATTGGTCCAAGACTATGGAGTCATTAGCAAAACAAACATATTTTTTGCTGTGGGCGTGGCCCTTGGTTCAATATATCATCCTACCAAGTTTGGCTGAGAGTGGTCCAAAGACAACGGAGTAGTTCGCAGACAAACAAACATTTTTTTTTTCATAATAAGTATAGATAGGTAAGGAAAATTAAATCTCTTGTTACAAAAACTGCCAAACGTGGCTTCGTAACCCTATATTCCTAACCTCTTTCAATCTGTTATGAAATTTGATATGACTCGTATACTGGCCTACTAATGATTTACGGCTTTATTGGGCCTACATTGATTATTGATCTGAGAAACGACCTATAACCCGATCTTTTCAGAAAGACAGACCTTTCTGCACGAGGGGTAAACATAAATTCAAAACTAGCTTCATTTTTTAACCCGATAGTTTTATCTCACGTAGGCCGAACGCGACTAAATGTCTAGACTAACGGACTGTGGATTTAAGGTTCAGTTGTTCGCGTCCTTTATCTTCATAAAAAAAAAAAAAGTGCTCCATACGTTGGTGTTTTGAGTTTGTAATAATAATGACAACCAAATCTCATTATTAGGTCTTACAATAGTCGTCTAAAACTTGGCGGTGTGTGGTGTTAACTAGCTACTTTCTTTCTTATCTATTGGTTCAAAATTGGAGATAGCTAGCGCAGGTTGTCCTTGTGTCGTTTTTTTGTGGAATTCAACAAATAAACTTAGTATCGTGCAAATAATATGCCGTAACATTATATATGTTATTTGTTTTCAAAATTTTGTGAAAGTTACACAAGAATCATAGCAGTTTCTAAGTTTAAACTGAAGCAAATACAACACAGTGTGTTATCAATGTTCTGCCAGCCGTGGGTACTATAACCCGATATGAGCCACATTAGAGTGGGAGCAATTAAACAAAAAGCGGCTAGTCAACAGTACCCACGGTAGAAAAGTTCAGAGCCCGTTTTTGTGAAGAGTCGCAAACCATAAATTATCAACTTACAGTCCGAACATACTCTCTCTATATATATGCAGAGAGAGAGAGGTTAATGAGGTTATTATCTTGCTGTAAACAAAATTTGGTGGAGGTATCGTTCTTGATTTTTTCTTTTCCTTTCAGCTTATAGGAACAGCTTTCTTCTGACTTCAAAAGATGGCAGCACCATACGACTGCGCTTTTTTACATCCTGAGGATGACGTAAATTAATGTTAATTTATATGCTTAATGATCGCTGGTTTAATTTAATACGAATGTGCAAAAGACCTTCAATACAAGTTTTACTTACAGACCAGCCTCTTACTACTTAACTTTCTGTTTCTAACGTCTGAACTCCTGTAGAAAAGGAACACTGACAAATCTACTTTAAAGAGACTCTTTCAAGACAAAGAAATATATATTTCTTTGTAATTTCAATTATAAAGAACAGTGCAATCACTAGGGTTATCTTTGAATATGCATGTGGATGATCATTTTCTTGATAAATGCTTTGTTTGGTACAGAATTTTCATGTAAGGCTGAACATATGATTATCTGAACGTGACTGTCCTTAATTTTGAACTGCAAGATTAGATATAAGGCATATTGGCTGAGGTATGTTCAAAAATTCTGTGTCTTCCTTTGATAAAATTTTTGGAGTTTGGCTGATTACCAATCATATGCTCAAACCTTCATGGTTTACTTATTTATTTATACTTTTCACACAGAAATTTGCTATAGAGGCATTTATTTCAATACCATACAGAATAACTGCATTTTTACGCATCCAAACCTAGAACATTTGAATATTACATTTTATCATACCCTGGATAATTATTTTTATGCATTTTATTTTCGTCTTCTTTTATATTTTGGCCTGTTTTGTTGAATTTTGCAAAGCTACACGAGGACTATCTGTGCTACCTGTTCCTAATTTTAAAGGGATAGATTAGAGGGAAGGCATCTATTCAACAGATCCATAGGCCAGCACACTAAACACTGGGCTGTGCACAGACTCTTGATATTTTTGGTCATGTAAACTATTGTTTGTTTATTAGTCTTGTTAAATTTTGTGTGAAGCTACTCAACGGATATCTGCACTAGTTGCCCACAATTTAGAAGTGATAGACTAAAGTCAACATCACCCATCACTAACTCTTGGATTACTCTAATTGAATAATAGGATTGACCATCACATTATAATGCTCCCATGGTTGAAAAGGCAAGCATGTTCAGTGATGGGATTCAAATCTGAGACCTGCACAGTGCAAGTCGAACACCCTAACCACCAGATATGTACAATATTAAACTTAAAGTGAAATCAGATTATTGGTATTTTAGTATCACCTTTATTAACAATTCAGATTTAAACCTTTCAGATGATTAGGTGGTCAGCTAACCTAGGTCAGTCTCAAAACAAACAAACAAACCTCCAAAAAGGTAGTTCATCAAAATTAAAGAATTGTTTGTTTATAGTTAAGCACAAAGCTACACAAAGGGATATCTGTGTTCCACCCACCATGGGGTATTGAAACCAAGTTTCAAGCATTGTAAGTCTGCAGACATACCACTGTGCCACTGGGGGGGAAAATTAAATAAACACTGTATCAAACTCCAGACAAAGTTAAGGGCTCATTCTGCTGAAAAGTACATAAATGGTTTCATAAATACTGACGAATGAAGTAAGACAGCAAATTTTATTGCATACGCTTGTGTTTCAAAAATCTATTTTCTATACAAATCAATATAAGAAACCCTGATATTTTATTATGACACATATTTTAAAGTAGATTAGGTTAAAAAAAATGTAATCTCAAGGAAATGACCCAATTATTATTATCATTTAGCTAAAGTGTTTCTATTAATTAATTGTTTTACTTGTTTAATATCTTCAACTAAACATTTTAAAGAAAGGCAGTATAAATCAGAGAATAAAAGTTCCTTCCAGAAACTTCTCCAACTGTTTGAAATTTTTATTTCTAAATGCATTTATTCATATGCGTGTTGCAGCAATTTAATTGTAATATAACACCTTTCCTTTCACAAATTCTGGGTCAGTAGTATTTATATTTTCAACATGAAGACACTAAGAGAAACATGGGCTAAAGGACCAGGTCAGACACCTCTAACTTAAAGCTACTTAGCAGAAGGAGGGAAGCCACAGTCATTTGTAATGTCACTTTTGCAAGTAGCAAGTTTGAATAGTACAAATGTTAACAAAATTTGCAAGGAGGAAAAGTTAACAAAACTGATAACTCATGGGAGTACATATTGAAAATGTACAAACTCAAAATCATATATGAATCAAGTTCTAACCTATATCTATGCTTTAAATGTTAGGCAATCACATTGTTTGCAGATCTTGTAAGTCATTTTCAGTTTTCTTCATTTATGATACAACATACAAACATGAAATTATATACTGGCAATTAAACTGCTAAAAAAAATTCAGCAACATTTTGTGAAAACACAATTAATCTATTTATTTACTAAACTTGTAATGTGCATACGTTTTTAATGCCTAAGCATCAATGCACATACACATGAAATACAACAAACATCTCAGCACAAAATTCAAGAGTGTGATGAATCTTGTGTATGTCTGTAGACAAAACTTTTCTCAACACAGACTAAAATCATAACTAATTCACACATATATTAAAATATTTTTTTATTTCTTTTTATTTTATCCTCTTGATATGTAAATTTTTTTCACTGTATTCTTTATGTAAAATTTATTGTTTCTCATTGAACAAAAAAGAAGTGGAAGATACTACTGTTAAAAATCCATTCATTTTAAACATGAATGAATTTTGTATTTAAAAATAAATATAAAACATTCCAAAACAAAAACATGATCTAACACAATTTTTACTCAATCCAATTCATGAATATATTACCTTGCAAAAGCACCTATGTTTTTATAATTCAAATTCTTTTCCTGAATTTCAAATGGCTGAGTATCTGCTTCAGTAGCATCTTAATCTTTCTGTTGAATAAACTGAAAGACATCTGCAATTTGTGTCTTCATACTGTTGCAAGTGGAAATGAAATATCAGTGGTCACATGTTAACTGGCAAACCACGTTTCACACTCCACTAACTAATACCCAGTGTGTGTAGATTCAAGACCTAAGAAAATCCACATGACTGTCACGGTATACGAGTGTTCAAGAATACTTGAAGTGCAAAAACTTCAGTCATATCAGTTTAAATTTCATTCTAAATACATATACATTATGAACACTGAACAAGGCACCATACTCGATCTTTTCATGAAAAGTATTTTGGCTGTTCTGTTCACAACTATCTGATTGTCCAAAAGTATATATACTGGTAATTCTTCTAACATTATTAAATAGTTATTTTGGTAGATCCTACATAAAAATAAGTCAAAGTTTTTGAGTTTCATTTTTCACTGATATGATTTACTATTATACAATGTTATCCATAGCTGCTCGCTTCCTCTTCTTATGATTAATAACCATGCCTGATGTACATATTTTTTCCATTTTACGAGCTTGCCATTCTTGGAATTCCAAAAACGCCTTCTGGCCAATATTAAATAGCTCCACTTCCAACATGTCAAGCCTAAAGGTCCATGATGAAGTTTCTTCCTGCAGAGTGTGTTGAGATGCATCCATAACCTTGCGAAATCTGTTTTTGAATGTCTAAAAAAATACCAAATTAGACTGACCTTATTAAAATAGATTTAAATCATTTTAAAGTACAATATTTTACTAAGTTTTAGCATTTTAAGGCCAAAGCATATAATAATAAAACAAATATAAATATCAACAAGTAACAAGAAGCAATTGTTCTTTCACAGTAATCAATTAAACACATGACTATCTATCATCCCGCTTACTTTATATCTGTTTCAAACGCTTCGAGTATAAATGTAATCAAAGAAAAAACTGCACAGCATCAGCACAGTTTACTTTTCGAGATAAACTTTTTGAAACTACAAACAAAGAAATAAGACATTCATTTTAACCTTTAATTCAAGTGTCCTTATCCTGTGATATTCGTCTTTGTCAGACTTTAGTTAGAATAAATCCTGACCTAATATGATGAAATTCAGATTATAAGAGTACCTGATTAAGCAGTATGGTCATATTCTTATTGAGAAACATACAAGTTTAGAGCACAGGCAGTAAATGCTGCATACTGAATTGTGTACATAGTCACTACATGAAAGACCTTTGAAAAATGTGTATAATTCTGTGAAAAAACAACTATGGAAGAAATGATTAGAGAAAGTGCATCAATGAAGAAGGTAATAGTCTTACTGATACTGATGAACATAAATACTCACCACCTTAATTTTTTACTAAGTTTGTTTAGAAGATGGGTTTAACTGAGTTATGACTTAACCATGAAGAAGTTTCAGATAAAGTGCTAATTTAAATTCTTAAATTCAGATTCGAACAATGGGTCATAAGGATCCATCTTAAAATTAATTCTTCAACTTTAATACAAGTAGTGCTTTTTATTAGTTACAAGCAAAAGTACCCATCCCCAATAATGGGAAAAGTTAAGTTAATCTATCAATTTAACTTATTTCATGGACTTTGAAAAAGTTAATTGTGTTGCACTCTTGGTTTCACTCAGAATCCATAGCTCTGAACTACTTATACCGCCCACTGTGAAAAGTAATTGTTGAGCATTTCAATCATGCTAAGAGCTGCTCAATAATAACACATGGTAAATCTATATTTTTATTCTTTAAGTTACATCACATTTTGAAATGTGAATAATAGTGTGATTAATTCCTAAAAATTTAGTGTAGAATATCCTGCATGCAAAATAAAATTTGGCATCAACATTATTCATGCCTTTTCTCTCGTCATTTCAAAAGTGAATGTTGAACTTTGCCAGCAAGCACAGCTTTTCAAATGCAGAGCAGAAAGCAGCCACCATAAACAGGAGAAAGATAAATGCTCGAAGAGACACCGGTTAGCAACATTATAAGATTCGGTATAAAGAACATATAATATATATCAGAATAAGCAAACTGAACTAAACCACTATTTTTTCCATACCTACATTCACTGAAAAAGATGACCAATTGCTGCAGACTGTTTCAAATTGGCTACAAGTGTCTAAAAGTATCATTAGCAGAATATGACATTGTTACCTAATCAACAGTACAGCTGCTCAGATACTTGAATGAGGCAAACCATCATTCACAACACAAGCAGAAGACCATAATCTGTCTGTTCTGGTTCACCACAATCACAAGGTACCTGCTCTGAGGTAGACTCAGGTGTATGTAACTGCAACTGCATGATTGTCAGCTTATAGACAGTTAGAAATAGACTTTACAAAGCTATCTTCTATGTTAAATGCTCAACAAGATGCATCTGCTTAGAGCAAAGTAAAAACAGCTTACCTGCAATGGTGCCAAAAACATCCAACCCCCACATACAAATCCATACCTGAGTTAGCATCTTGGAAATTTCTTCAGTATCAGCATATGGAAAGTTAAGCAAGTACAAGCCAATGTGATAGAAGTAAGGTCCAAGATCATGGAGATCCACCATAGTAGCATCTGCACTTAAAATTTCTCTGTAAGTCTCTCGGTATGATTTGGGAAGTTCCACATTCACAATATGTCTGCTTTGAAGGGCTTGGGCTAACCATAGTGGCAACTCTAACTTAGTTCCAGGTAACAAATCAGGAGACTGAGATGAAGGATTGAGGGAGCCTGTGATCCAGAAAGACAAAACTTTATAATGAGTGCCTGTAGCACCAGTTAGATAACACTGGGAATAAAGTGTGCATCTACTATGTGCAGAATTATTTCTCAACAGAAAACTGGAATCAATGATAGATTCTAAATTTCTGAGACTGCAGGCACTCAACTGGAAAACTGATTTAATTGATAGAGTTTAATATGTCAACCTTATACTAAATACATTATTTGCATGCACCATTCAACCTATAGTTGGTTCAACACACTCAACCCACATGCAAATATTGGGAGAGTGTGATAATAAGAGTACTAGATTTATAAGAGCGTATAGTAGCCAAAAATGTTAAGGATACAGAAGCTGATTCAGTTACCAGTCTCTAAAAATTTAGCTAGCAGTTTCCCAACAGCACTGTGAATGAATAACTTCTTTCTATCTGGATAGTGTGCATTAAATTTGGTAGCAGCCTTCTGTTGGGACCAACCTTCTCTACTACCCAACAGGATTAACTCAACCTTACAATGCTTTAACAGCACAATAATCAGTCACGTATCTGAAATCAAGAAAAGCTGCAAATAACCTATGGTTCCAGACCTTTCAGACACCCTGTAGATGGGAACACTTAATAGAAGAATCTTGGCATATAGGCAGGTAAGTCACTGAAGCCATTGAGGCACTGCTCTGTTCTCAGTAGTAGAAATAGCATTTTAGGGTGTATTTATAGATATATTGATTACAAGTTAAGAGAATATTTCTCTCTATACACAAATTAGGTAGGCTTCACTTGGAATATTGTGTATGCAGCTTTAGTCTCCTTATTCAAGTAGGAATATTGACTAATTGGAAAGTGTTCAGAGAAGGTCTACTAGGACAATTCCTGGGATGGATGGGTTAATTTGAGAAAAGATGGGTAGGAGGTGACCTTATTAAAGTTTACATGACTTTCTGGAGAACCAATAGGATAAAGGCTTCATTATTTGTGCTATATTCTTGGTGGTTTGGTTGATCAGTCTCTTTTGTCATTCAAGCAGTATGCTGTTGCTAGTTGTAAGGTAAATAGAATTTCAGGTTATACTATAGAAATGCTGAATATAATTCTAAAGAGGTTATAATTTCATTGTATAGGTCACTAATTAGAATCTCATTTGGAGTACTGTGTTTAGTCTTGGGCTCTTTACTTTATAAAGGATATTGTATTGTTGGAGTTGTCAATGCATCTTTTTTCATACTAATGCTGAAAATGTTAGAACAAGAGGATAAAATATATAAATTTTTGTCAGGGTAGAAGTCATCTTCAGCTAAGATAGTTTTATCTTCCAAATAGGGTGGTTGGCTTTTGAAATGAGTTGCCTTCAAATGTGGAGGATGCATTTAATTTAAATGATAAGGGCTGGCTTTAAGATTGTTTTTATTATCATATTTCTATTATTATTATTTTTAAAGTTTAATTTAGTTTAATGGATGAAACACCATTAATGAATCAAAAGGTAAAGATTCTTAAATGTTATGTCATTCTGAAGACAGTATGAAAGGAGGACACAAGTTTAAGATTTGGAAAAGACAGGCTAGGCTCCTGTTAAGACAGTTTTATTTTTCTTACAGGAAATTGACTTATGGAATGAGTTGCTGTTGACAGTAGAGGAAGTCACAATTTTACAAGAGTTTATGAGGGAATCAATGATTTTCTTTTCTCAAAAGTGGGTGTGTAAAAACAATTTTGAAGGACCAAGTGGTCCCTTGTTGTCCATATATTATATATAAGGGCTTGATTCACAAATTTGTGAACTACCACAGCAATACTTATGAATGCACAATGTTACAAGCGCTCATTCTTCATAGCATTATATTTATAACCTTTGTATCATTATTTTGTAAACACTACTGTGCATTCAAAAACATATATACATACTGTGCCAAGTTTACTTTATGACATGCAAGATGCCCATTCCATAGTCCACACTATTAGTATTTAAATCATTAAACTTTGGCTAATTCTAATGGCTAGCCTTGGGTAGTGCAAGGATTCTGGAATTATTCCAACAGTGCAATATAAGATAGAAGCTAAAGAAGAATTAGAAGCCATCCTTTTTAATACACTATATAAGTTACTGTTTTGAAGATTTCCAAACATCATTCACAAATTAAACAAAGGTTTTAAAATTTAAACTTAACATTTTGAATCTTACAAGTTCAAAGGTAATGACGATGTAATTGTAAGCAACTCAGCCAAGTGATAAAATTATAAATGCGTTCAATTAATGAAAATATTTTGACACTCTTTTAAATGTAGTAAATCAAAATATGATAAAAAAGAATGTAACATGTCTCAACTTAAGTCAAAATGATCATTAAAGATCTAACTGGTACGTAAACTAAAAATGGTACTACTAATACTAGTGGTACTGGTAGGCTAAATCGTCGTTGCTCAACATATACTTACTAACTTAGGCTATAAGTATAATTTCATTTTTCACTAGACATTAAAATTTCATTAAAAAGTACTTTATTATCAAGTTAATTTAATGAAGAAATTACATTTACAACATAAAATAAATAAGCCAATTCATGAAAGATAAACATATATAACTTCATAATACAAGCTTACCAAGTTTATACACAGGAAGTTGAAAACGACAAGGTATTCGTACTTCAGTTGCAAGAATGTCGTCCATAGAAAAATATTCTTCCATAGATCTTGAGCTATAATTTGTTCTCCTTCCGCTACTCGGAGTGTAACTCATTTTTATTTTCAGCTTCACGTTACACAATAGTATAAATTTATAACAAAATTTACTATTACTTAGTAGTATATAATTTCGTTTAACAGTTGTTACTATTCTAAACTACCGCCAAAATGGTAGTTTGCTGAAGCGCTCTCTGTCCACCATACAATTGAAAATATTTGAAGTATTAAATCTTCAGTAATGAATTCTTTGTAGTAATAATACACGAAATTACAATCACAATATTATATAAATTACTTTTTTGTGGGTTGTTGTTGTTTGTAGTTAAGCACAAATCTACACAATGGGCTGTCTGTGTTCTGCCCACTATGGATATCGAAACCCAGTTTCTAGCGGTATAAGTCTGCAGACATGCCAATGTGCCACTGGAGAGCATTTTATGTGGGAATGTAAAAATATGTTGTTGTTTTTCTTACATATGCTTTCTTCATTTATTTTTTAAATTTAATATTACAGGTTTTATTCGCTAAAATATTTAAATATAATTTTAATATTATTCCTACTATTAATTTTTACTTATGAAGATTTTCTTGAATTATTAGTTTAGTATATGGATTTCGGACAAACTGAAAGTTCATGAGATATTTATTACAGTGTTACAGCGATATTCAACTGGTGAATCAATGCAATCTCATCATTATGTTAGAGTTAATAGACTCTATATGTAGGGATGGCCAAGATACTCAAGAGGCATAAAAAAATCAACAATGACAGAAAGTTTTACTTTAAAACACGATTGCCACTCACTTTCATTTGTTTTTCTATCCAACAAAGCCAAAAACAAGGCAAGGAACATAGCTAAGATACTAAACAAGAAGGTGACCAACCCACCAAACTGTTTATCTTTCTTCTTTTTGTTTTAGTCGCGATAACTTAATAACTACTTTATCACTAACGTCAATTTAAACCTAAGTCCACTCTATTGGTTTCTGGGCAGTGCACGGTGTCATAGCTTAGTCGTAGTAATTAGTATTAATTTTAAAGAAACCATAATTCTAGTGTAAACGATGTTATCATTACCCTTTGAAGTTAGCTTTTTTACAGAAATTTTGTATTCCTTTAAAAAGCTTAAGTACAGGGTGCTTAAGCAATGACTGCAACGTGTAGAATACACAATGCTTTGTACACTATACAATCCGCGTGTTTAGGGAGCCAATCTCTATATTATGTAGGAAGTGAAGGAGTAAAAAAAATCAATACATATAATATTTAAATTTTATTGCACGCATTCACAAAATACACTAACTTCCAGTCAGGGGGAAATGTCAGAAAACAAGTAATAAAAAAAAATTTGTAAATATAAAATGATGTAGTGATGGTAGTGCCAAAAAGAATGCAAACAAGAATATAGGAATGATACAGCTATACACAGATCATTCACCATCCTAAGTGACTTTCAATGTTAAAATTTAATGTTACACTGTTAAATGCATACTTGAATTTAATATTACTGCAGTTAGAAGTTATATATTCCTGATTGTTGGTATGCAGTTTGTTTATCGCAATATCATGGTTATGTCAAGATAGGCATCAATGTAGTGTAACTAAGAGCTTAGAACTTATGCACAAGGAAAACCAAGTTGAGTCAAACATGTCTTGAAAACAACAGACTCTTGCTATGAGGTCAGTCGAATTGACTGACCTCGTAACCATTTTGTACTTGTACATTTTACAGTATATTATTAAATGTTGTTATTGAAAATTATGTAGGGATGATCTGTGTATAGCTGTATCATCCCTTTATTCTTGTTTGCATTATTTTTGGCATTGCCATCCCTACCATTGCTTTGTGTGTGATGTTTTTCCTTCGTGAAACTGTAATATATTTTCCACAAATGTAGCAGAAATTGTTTGGGTGCTTTTTGCACTTTCGGATTTTACTTGAACTGGAGGCAACCAGCATTTCAAATAATTTTCAAAAAATATAAAAGAATTTATGTCTACGTAACTAGAGTTTAAAATATTATAAACAAAACAAAACAGAATTTGATTATATCGCGAGTATGATGCGAGGAAGAGGATCGGAATTTGTTTTGACTGTGTGAAGAGCGAGGCGAAGTTACTAATTGAGTGAATGAAAGGCAATTGAGAGAAAGGCGTGTGTTAGTCGAATGTTCTAGCAAACTGAGCACATGAGGGATTCGTGGTTCCTGGGCAGAATAGGTGAACGTGGTAATGAAGCAGAAATGGTGCAATTCGCTATAATTATATCGAAAAGAAATAGCGTATATGCACAATATATTTGGAATTTTACCGCAACACAATGTTTGACATTATCAAAAATATATGCTTTTTACCCATTAAACTGTCGAAGTAAACTTTATTTCACAGCATAAATCTGTTGTATTGAATTGATTGCATGGTATTTCACATAGTTCTGATAAAATATTGAGATATTACAATAACTCAACATCTAGAGGTGATAGACAAATTCGGACTAGAAATGTAAGATCAACATAATCAAATTACCCCGAATCACTTGAGTTTCTCTCCAGTAGCAAATTTTGTGTTGTCCAGTGTAATTGATTTCTTTCTGTATCGGTCTAAATAAAAGGCTTACTAACATTTTTTGAGAATGTGTGTTTTTTTCTAGAATGGAAACTACTCGAAACATTTGGTTATAAAAGGCGAGTTTATAAACTTCATAAATAGAGTTTAGTAGCTTGAAGAGATATAAATATTAGTGAAATAATATTTACATCTTAAAATTGAATAATAATGTAGTTCAGCGTTCTTGAACTTTCTGAAACCAATTAATCATGTTTGTGTTTCAGACAACAATTTATCTTATAGACGAAACAAACCAAGCTGATTTGGCTCGTAAAATGTACCCAAAACCTAGTCAGTGGTTGAGGGGAATATGATTGTTATTTCCAAAGATAAATATTAACACAATAAGATTGCTAAACATTGTAGATTCACAGTAAATGCTTCACGGAAGGGATTCTATAATGTTCTTCTGAAATCACGAAAGAAACTCTCCGACCTAAAAGGTCATTGCAATTAAACTGCACATACACCTTCGTATCTCTAAAAGATACTAAACAAGTAGTTGAGAGTGGTAAAGGGTCTCAAGTCAAAGATTCACAAGATTCCGGCCTCATCTTAAAATCAACTGCTGTTTTCTTAAAGAGAGATAGAGTCAAGTCCCCCAATTCAGCTATAATGGATTTTATTATTTTTTTGCTTGAATTAGCTGAAGCTTGAACTTGGAAATAAAAGACCTAAGATGCACAATAGGAGTGGGTCAATGGTGAAATGGTTGTTAAGAAACAGAATAAAGTATGATTTCAGAGTATATTGAATTTAATCATAGTTTCCAAAAAGTTTGACTGACTTTCTGTAGCCTCTGAATGTTTATTGATACGTTGATGACTTAGAAAACTTGTATAGTTAAAGTGTTTAGTTTGTTTGTTTGGACACGTATTATTCCCATAATTTTTGTCAGCTCACACATTATACAGTTTTAAAATTTCATCAAATATGAAATCAATTGCTTTGGTCAGGGAATGTATCAAGGTAATATTGTTTTTGTTTCGTTGTTTGTTGAATTGAGAACAAAGCTACTTGAGGGCTATCTGCAGTAGCCGTTCCTAATTTTGAAGAAGTAAACTTGAAGGCTGCTCTAATCGAAAAATAGTAGTTGAACTATTACTCTTAAAAAAATGCCCGGCATGGCCAGGTGGTTAGGGCGCTCGACTCGCAATCTGAGGGTTGCGGGTTCGAATCCCCGTCACACCAAACATGCTCGCCCTTTCAGCCGTGGGAGCTTTATAATGTGACGGTCAATCCCACTATTCGTTGGTAAAAGAGTAGCCCAAGAGTTGGCGGTGGGTGGTGATGACTAGCTGCCTTCCCTCTAGTCTTACACTGCTAAATTAGGACGGCTAGCGCAGATAGCCCTCGTATAGCTTTGCGCGAAATTCAAAAACAAAACAATACTCTTAAAACGCACTACGACCCTTTAAGCGTGGAGCGCATTTTTTGGCTGTAGCAGGAAGTGAACCACAGAACCTCGGATACATTGTTCGGTACATTAATTACGCTCAGCCCTCAAGATAATCTGTGAGGCCTTTTATACAAGATACTATTCAATAAAATAAAATAAGAAACAAGAGACGCTTGAATGATTTCAAATGTAGTAATATGTCTGTTGTTTCTGTTTCTTTCGCGTTTTTATCTTCACTAGCAGTAGTATCTTCTAAAGCAATCAATGCGCCAAATATACACATCATTAAATTCGATGACGAGGAACCAACTTTGAGACTAATAATGGCTGGAGACGGCTTGAATGGGCAATGAAGCAAAACTTTAATATAAGTTTAACATAACAGCAAGTGTACAACGTTTCATACTGATGATGACAAAACCTTGTCGAAACGTTGTACACTTGCTGTTATGTTA